TTCCAGCTTAGCAAATGAGAAGTAAAAAACAGTCCATCAAAGAAGAGTTTTGTTGAAAGCTACTTTTTAATCACGGAGTTACTTGACATTCAGTCAGCATGATGATTACATTTTCCTTCTCAAAATGCCAACAGACAAAATAAGCCTAGCAGGAACCTTCAGAAGAAAATGAGGAAATGTCTGAAGACACTGAACTTGGAATGACAGAAAATAATGAAGTAAAACTAATAAATTGATTTGAGCAGTGACAAGGCTTGGTAACACTAAGGAAAAGTTTCTCCTTGGGATTACGGACAAAAGAGCACTCTGAAACAAGCTGCTATTCTTCTGTTTTMTTGAGATAGATTGGATGTCATGGTTATGAAATGCTGAGACTGAAGCTCAGTCTCTAACTCTACAATTAACTTGCACGAGCAGCAGCCAAAATGCCCTTCTGTGCAAGTCTGTGCTCCAAGCTGAGCCTAAAACCTGATCTCTCTGCCCCCGTATTTTTTCTTTAGCCTTTTTGTTCAGRAGGTGCCAATTACTGAGAAGTCTGGCAGTAGTTTTGCTGAGGATTGCATCTATGCACTGACAATTGAACTTGGCTCTCYGAAGCAAATCCACGCAAGCTGCCCGAGCCCAAGCTCAGAGCCAGGGCTGCCCTGCATCCCATGCCCTCCCGCAGCTCTGCAGGGCTGCTGCAGCTTGCGACCACGCTTGGACCCAGTTTGCTGCTCAGCTGACAATTCTGCCTTGTTTCACCATGGTGACACACTGCTGGACAGTGTGTTTCAGGGCACAGAATAAATTCAGAGCTCCCCTTCCCAGSTGGGACTCTACCACAAGCCCCCATAGCCTTTTCTTGCACTGCACTACCCCACACAGGACCTTACYCCTTTCAAAATAGATGGTTTGCTGMATTCTAGTACAAAGTCAAACGTGAATGAGGGAAGGGAATCCTAATATTTCATGGTTAAGCTGGTATTTAGGACATGCCAATTTGCTACCAAAATGGTGACAATTTTGTAATGTTTAACTAATATTTATGTGACATTTCCCCAGTGCAGCCCMATCAGTTACTCAGAAATGGGAAGACACATAGTGCCTCCTTTCTGCACATTATAAACCTGCATGCTGGTTTATTTCTGYTTGAATTATCTTCTAAGATGTTTCACACTCTTGTCTCTGAAGGCTCCTCTACTGGGAAACCARCACACATAGAAGTGGTGTCACACAGACACACTGCTCTACAGTCCCTCTCCAGGGCAGCTGAAAGGGAAACAGTGTTTTCTGCCCTCTGATTCCTTCATCTCCTCACCATGCTGCTGTCTTTAGGAGGGAYATACAATACCCATACGATTTTCAACATGTCCTCTTTCTCTCCCATTCCAGTTCATCAATCTAAATCATGTTTTAGCTTAACGGTACAAGGTCTGCTGTTTCATTTATTCTTTTATGTAGCTTTAAGTTGGAATTTTTAAAARATGGCTCATTATTAGTCCCACAATATGATCATGTTTAGACTCGAATCCTTGATCCAAAGAACTGTACAAAGATCGTAACAAGATTACCTGCACAACACTCTCATATACACACCCGAATCCATATGCACGGCTTTCCAAGGGTTACTGCAACTATCCCCAGGTAACAACCAGCTGCCCTCAAACCTGGGCCAACCGTGCCACAACCACGAGAGCTCAGTGAGAGAYGGAGCCCATCCTGCCGCCTCGCCATGCCCTGCACTGTCCTGCACTTCCCCAGCAGCGGGGCTGGGATGCTGAAACTGCAGGATGCTCCGTTCCCGTTGCCACCTTGCAGCCCAACACAAAACTATGCCCGACGCCTCTGGCTGCCCGGGCCTGAAAGCATCCTTTCTCCCTTCTTTTTAAGCGCGAGGCGCCATCCCACAAAAGAAGGCGCTCCTGCCTTCAAAAGGTTTCTGTTCATGGGCCGTGGCTTGCCCTGAATCAGCTGCATTCATCAGCCAGCCCTCCGTCTGGGGCTGCTCCTCTCTGGCTGCAGATTCAGCGAAACACCGAGCAAGAGCCAGATATAAATCTCCTGCTCAAAGGAAATATTTAGCAGCAAAATGAGTAGAAAAYAAAAAGACTTGTCTGTTACTTACCCAATGCTCTCACTCAGGGCAGCTCTATCTAACAAGCAGGGAACTGAGCCCTCCTGCCTGGAACGGCTGTGCCAGGGGGATGGAGAGCGGGACTGCCCCATGCCTGGGAACCCGCTGCTGCACCCAAATGGCTCCAGGCACTGGCTGAGAAATGCAGAGCTTTGTCCATCAAGTCCAGTGCTTGGTAAGCGTGAGAGCCTGCTTAGGGCAGTGAGGGGAAAAACACCTGCACTGTTTTCTCTTAATTCTGAAAAAGGAAAGCTCRAGACAAGTTAACACAGATTTATGTACTTACTAAAAGCTGAGGAACATTAACCCACAGCTTATCGGTGTTCTGCTTTTATTTMATTGTGTGAGCTGTTCTGCAATACAAGATGCAAGATGCAGATCAACATTTTTTCTCTTTTTATTGTTACTTGGATTGTGTAATTCCATCTGGAAAGGCCAAGTCTTCACATGAATTCATTGAGATGACGGTGCTCCAGCTGACACAGAACCTGAACGGGTTTCTATTGCAAAATAATTACGACAGGGATAGACAGCCATTTCATAAGCCATAGCACAAGAGACAGCTAAGCCATTTTACTAGAACTCAGGGGGTACTTTTGGAAAGGAAGAGGTGCAGGACAGGCCATGTACCAGCATCTCCCTGAYAGAGACTCTAGAACCTGTGATGTTCTGACTGGGGCTTTGGCCACAGAGGGTGTCTGCCCACTCTCGGCTGTAGCCCACCACWCTGGCTGCTTCACCAGCCCGGCTCAATTCGCCACTGACTGGGAGCAGTGAGGTTTCAGGAGGTTGCTGAAGCTCCTGCCAACAGTCCAAGAAGTGATTCCAGGGTCTGCAAGGGACAGAGGGGGAGCTCCCTCCTTGCTGAGCACCCTGCCTGCCCACTAGTGAGCACCTGGGCTAGCACAAGGGATAGAACCCACTCCCTGCAGAAATGTCATTGCATTTTCTTTATTCAGCAGAGAAATCTAAAGCWATACATGACCTGCAGGAAGCAGAAAGAGATGCAATGCATGTGTCCTTACATCATTGCTTCAATTCTTGCCCAAATCCCACTGCTCTGTGCTCATTCAGCATCTTGCAAAGTAAAGAACTAGTGTTACACAGAAAATTTATCTTTTACAGTGCCATTAGTTTAGCTCTGTATGACCAGTATTTTTTTTTTTTAATATTTGTTCATCTTTTATCTAAAATACAAGCCTCAGTGTTATCCTTTGTTTCCAAATTTTTACTTTGTGGTGCAATCATTACCGTGAAACCTACATTGGTAATGCTCATAACTCTTAAAAAATACTGCTGTTTGAATTATAGTCATGTACCAAAAGAAGTATTACACAAAAATATTTTCTTGCTTCATCTCTACAGCTCCCAAAAAACTGCATCTCATGGACTTGGATACAAATGTACTGGAGAAACCAAAACTACATGAATAGAGGAGACCTCAAATGGCCACCATGATCTGTAACAGTCTATATACACATTATATACATATGACTGTTTGAGAACCTGTAATCATGAATGTGTACAGTCTGCATACTGCACACATTAATGTGAGGGTTTGTAAAAAAAATTGTTTTAAACTACTGTCGACAAGTATTTACCCTGTGGCGCCACAGAAAACATAATTACTGGTTTTAGTCTTACCTTCCTAGTGCCACTGCTCATTAACCATAAACTGATTTTGCAAGTCTGTCAGTTAACACAGTAATTTCTACAATTTTTTTCTTATTATATTTGCACATTATAAATTGGTACAAATCTTCCCAATAAAATGTAAAGTTCATTGATACAATGCCTTTCACGATGGCCATAACTGGTTACTAGTCAACTCAGTAGTTTTGTAGAGACATTTTTAGCTGAACTTGGAAAAATAGGAAACGTATTGTAGTTTAAAATAAATGTACATAATTTACAATATATATATATATATTTATATACATGTGTATGTCTACATACACATATATTGATAAAACATTTAAAGAATGTTTAGTTTTGATCAGTTCTCTGACTGCTGGGACTACCTGGCAAATAAATCTATAATTTGTCCACAATTAAATAATAATTTYCACAACTTAGAAAAATATACTTCTACTAAATAAGGTTTAAATTAACTGATTTATGGATATAGGATGGAGGATAATGGTTTCCAGACTCTGACATGATTAAATCTGAAAGGACCCAAGCTACTACAGACCAGTAACAAGCGCTGCCCCGCAGCCAAAMACAGAAAAACACAGAAACACAAGCTGCTGCCACAGCAGCATTGGTGACACCCAAAACCTCCCTGCTTCCCTCACCTCYTACACAGCCTTCATTTCCACCCCACTGGACTCTCCCAGCCAAGCTCATGCTGTTACTCCAGCCATGAGCACACGGAGCACACAGACCTGCCCTGGCTCCTGCTCCGAGCACAGCTCCGCAGGGCTGCTGTGAGCAGCTCCTCACTCCCACACAGYGCTTCCTTGGGAGCCAACAGATCACCAGATCCCTAATTTTCAGCTTGGAGGACCATCAGTACTTGAGCTTCACCATATGGAATTTGATCTACTGCATAGGTAAATACATTATAGCAAAACATACATATGTGTGTGTGTGTGCATGTGTATAGAAGTATATATACACATGCACACACACATGTGAGTATGTGTACATCTSTATATAAAAAATTCCATGGAACTATGTGTAGTAACATGATATAGCATGGTATCCTGCATACGTTATCTGATCTTATTTTTTTTTAATATAGAGGCACAGAAATAATTATAGAGAATAAATCAACCTTTAAAAATTGAAGTTAGATCCATGGACAAGAACTTTGGTAAAGCTTGTCAATATTTATTTTTGTTTTATTCAAATACAGTCAAAGTCTATCAGTTGCCATCACCCTCTTCACAAGAGGAAAGTGCATGTTTTTTTTTCCTAAAGAAAATTATATGTAAGGTGGGACTTAATGATTCAAGAAAACTCTGAATTAAATGCTTATATTTTTCAAAAGATTACTATCTTTCTGATGGAATGAAAGCTAGAGTTCTTGTCCTGTGTGTATTTTATTTATCATATGCATATATATATAAATATATATATATATGTATGTCTCCATTGATGTACCTGTGTGTGTATAGACACATCCACACACTTTCAACACGAGAGAGGAATCTGTTTTTCTCCACTTTGTTCGTGGAGACTCACACATTTCTCCCTGTCTTGTACCCTGTGCAGTATAAGCTCTAGTGATGAGGCCAAACAAAAAGATATAGTTCACCATAGTATATTAGTTTATGTAGCAAAGTCATTTTCAAGCAAGTAAAATAAAGCTCTGTATTCCAAACTTCTTTTCCATTTCTCATAAAGAAAAGGAAGGGAAAGGAGAGAGGGGAGGGAGTGGGGTTATGGCAGTAGCATCGAGCCAGTGGCACATGGCTGTGTGCGTGTGCGAGCGCAGGTCCGCACCCCCACAGGCGCACAGGAGCAGGGCTTTGGTTGACAAATGCAGATTGTCCAGAGAAGGTGGATGCATAAGTAAGGAAGACTCTACAGTGATGCAATTGTATCTTTTATGCTTGCATGGAGTGAGAAAAAAAATTCAATTGGGAAAAAAGAAAAAAAAAAAAAGAAGCAAAGACCTCTTTTTAGGTCCCTCATCAGTGAGAGCATACTCAGTATGCTAGAGAATTTATCTGAAACCTTTTAAAGCAAGGCCTCTTTATTACAAAAATAAAAACGAACAAACAAAAAAGTATGAGAGACGACAAGATGCTGAAGCGTCACTCCAATCGTCCCTGCAGAGAACAATTGCATCCCATTTATTATTCATTCTCTTCTCTCATTTCTACGATGTCTGTCATTTCCTCTGTGTGAGGCATGTCGGTCATTGCAGARTCTTCACCTTCTGCAGCTGTCTCATTCTCATTCCTCTTCTTTTTCTAGATTGAAACAAGCATCCAGAAACCTATCAGTAAGTTGTGCATCAACACACTCCAACCAATTTTGGACGCTGGGAGAAGTGAGGTGAGAATATGGTTTGTTTMGAGTATTAGTTATTAAAAACTAGAATATTTGTGTCATATTTGTGGCTTGCCACTAATAACTTGGCTTAACTTAGAAGATTTCCATAACCTTTCTGGGGCTCAGCTCTCTCCTTTCTAACATAAATGTAATCAGGCATTTCTTATGCTAAGCAACATTCAAAACAGGCTTCAGCGTGACTGGAGGGAAGAGAGCATCTGGAATCTTTTACATCACAGACTTTTTATTAAGAAAAGAAGGAAGGAAAACAAAATGTGAGAGAAGAAAAGCTTCTCTAGGGAGGGAGATGAGGTGGCAACCTAATTTCTCAAATGTCAAACTTCAGGAATTTTACAAGATGTGAGCATTCTGGCTTTTCTTGGTATTGCTGATCCACTGTGATTCCTTGCCTCACCAAGGCCAAAGTAATATTAGAGTATTTTTGGCTAGCAGGAGCAGGAGGTCATTCAAGAGTCCTATGATTCATCCAGGATGTCCTGGATTAGTAAAGCTAAGAAGTGTTCAGCCCCCTACAAAACAAGTTGAAGCATCTGTTCCCGATTACCCATTTCTCAGCAGGCTGACTAGTTTTACTGAAAACAATTGTACAGCTGACAAAATATCCCCCCCAGGTATTGATTCAGCTGAGATGGTGTATCAGAGTTCCAAATTTTCAGAGGTGTCTACATAACATTTGATCTGTAGCTCTCCAGCTGCAGGTAAGAACAACCTGGTTTATAGAGCTACTGGCTGGCTCTGCCACTGTCACATTGAATAAAGAATAAAYTAGGTTGGCACAGTTATTACTCTTACTACCTGCACTCACCACTGAGAGAAATTAAGCACAATGTCCCAGGTCAGAAAGACTCTGTGAGCTACTATGGTAACAAACAAGCAATGAGGATGTTGTGAAACACAGGTGAAGACAAGCCATTTCAGTGTCTACRAGTTTTACTCCTTGGCTCTCAAGAAAAACATGAGAAATTAATTATGAMAGAGGTTATGATTCTTCTACTGTCTTATGAACCTTATATACTTTGATCTCTTGCCATGGCCAGCACTGTTAACACATATCAAAAGTGATTCTCCAATAAGCTCCAATAAGGCTTTTGGATATTCCATCTTCGGTAGTTCTTTTTTCCAAAAATAGAAGCAGGTATTTCCACTTGGCATATACTAAGAAGTCTAATTTAAAAAACAAAAGTCACTGCATAGATTATATTTTCCATCCACAAAGTCATTCTGTATTGCAGAATGATGTACACATCTTGTTGGTTCTGCTGGGAGTTGAACTGTACACAGTGTCTTGAACACTTAACTGGAAGGACATAACATGCAGGTACTGCAATATATCCAGACACCCAGCCAGTATTTATCCTGTGTTTCACTTAATTTAGTGGACTCTTCTTCAAAATCCATGTATCACTACTGCTCCATACATGCAGGATTGTATGTTTGAAATATGTAAAAACACACCTGTTTTATTATTTGTAAGCTCTTATTATCAACTGTTGCAAGAGTATATCTTGTTTTAAGCCACTCCTCTAGATGGCAAAAAACCATAAGCACCTGTACTTTTTGTCCAGCAGAGCTGTTTTTTATAAAGAAATAAGAGTATATCTATAGATATATATGTACTACATAGTGCATACATATTGCTATAAATGTGTACACTCTGTGACACTGYGTAACACATTGCATGGCAGGGAACTTGCAACTTGTTGGAACTTTTAGGTCTCTTCCACCTAAACCTACCGCCTACCATTCCCATTTCCCATTCTGGGAATCTGTGATTCTATATATACATATAGATACACATATTGTAAGCTTGGATGAGTAGTTGCTGTACCTGCATAAAGATGCACTGTAGTAGCAGATACACACTGGTGGCAGTAGTGACATGATATCCATGATACAAGTGTTTTGAGAAGCAAGAAATTCTCTGACTTCAGACCAGCATGTCCCATGGCCTGGATGCCCACTAGCAACCCAAAGAGTTTCCARGTTGCACACTCCCGAGACTTAACAGGCAAGCAAACCAAAATCAGGATTCTGGGGACTTATACTAAGTACTCTTAGTCTAAAATCCACTATATTCATCACCTGCTTTCACCAGATCCCACAGAGAATAATTCTTACCTGTTTCCTATAGACRTAACAGGCCGCTATTGCAACCATGGTGGATTCTCCTACAAAACCAGCTAGAAGGGATCCTACTCCAAGAGTGGCTCCATGAACTCTGTTGGAGACATAGAAAGAAAGTCATTGTTGTGTGAGAATGCATGATTCATAATTAAATTGGCACTGGCATATAGAACCAATCTGCTGATAGAAATATTTTCTTCAGAGACAAAATACACTACCAAAGAGAATAACTGATATTTTAAAGGACTCATTTGTTTTTTAATGGCTTCACTGTTTAGTAAAAGAAGCACAGTGAATCAAATTATGGGCTAAGAATTTAAAGTCTTGTACAGAGTGCCGTAGAATAGATAATTTAACAAACAAAATATTCTTCCACTAGCTTTCTTTMATAGTGTGGTTAGTAACATGGAAATAAATTCCCCTTAGGACATGTTTTTGCCTCTTTGACATTTTTGTGTTTTTTTCCAAAGGGACATCGCTATCATGCCTGTCTAGAACAGTCATGCTTGTAAATTTGTAAATGTTTCTCTTCCAGATAGTGGCATTATTTAGGCTTTGTATCATGGTTAGTATTTGGGGAAAATGTTCTGAGCTATGCAAATTCAACTATCAACTCACAGGGAAGAGGAATGAAGAGGAAAGCAAACCCATGGGTTGTATGAGGAATAATGATTTACCCTAAGTAAGGCAGCACGATGAGACTGGTGATGAGGACAATAATCCGCAGCACTGAGCTTGGTGCCAACACAAATGTCTTCTTCAGAGTCATCAGCCAACCAGTCAAGTGTGCTCTGACAGTCACTGTTCATAAACAGGGGAAAGGGATGAGATGGGGAGAGAAAGAGGCAAGAGAAGTAAAAAAAACCCAGTCATCTCATATGCAGCTTTTTCATGCTGAGAGCACTGCTCAGAAATAACCACTGTGAAACTTATTGCTGGTAATTTTGYACCCTACTAGAAAGGAAGTACATCTTATGTTCAAATTGCTTTAATATATTGATTTGGAAAAACAARGAAACMAATRAAAAAGCCAGCACTCCTTMSTAAGAGCTGCTCTCTTAAAACCAATTTATTAGACAGYCCATTCTGTTTTCTTCATTAAAAACCCCCCAAACTATCCCTTTCCCTAAAGAGAAATCACACCAAGGAAAATTTTCCATCTGGCTCCTGTATRTGGCACATGGAGTAACAGTCAGGCACCAAAAAAAGATATCTACTTGTACCTTTTCTTGTATTTGTAATTCACCTTTATTACAAAACTGTCTTGTCGCATAAGCAGACAACACTACAAGATGTTGCATTTATTAAAAGAGTTAGAAGCCTGAAACATTTTGATTATTGTTGTCAAGCTTGTCTTGCTCTTTGATAGCAGTATTAACTCTTATTATGCAATGTTCATGCTCAGAAAGAGCCACTGAGTCTGGCAGCAGAAGGGGACACTAATGGAGGTGATGTTCATGTGGAGGTGATCTTAGATGCTATTTCAGCCCCTTTCAGCCACAGCACACACTTGTTGCTACTGCCATTCATGTGCTTGTTCTTGGTCAACCACAACAGAAAGAATTCAGGCTTCACTTTGGACAGTGAGAAATCTGCCTGCTGACTGACTGCTCTTACTGCAAGATTTTTATCATGACTACCAAGGTCAACATTCTGGGTCTCCAGCGCCTTCAATACATTGTTACTCATGCTAGGCATGCATTTAGCCATGCTTATATGTACATCCAGACCATATAGAACATTGGTTTTGAGGTTACAGAACTTTTGTTTTTGCTTTATTTGTTTTACCTGGAAGAGGAAAAAAGGAGAATATGCGCAAAGGAACGACGCACAGCTCTGCAAAAGCGAAGTCTACTCCAATTATGTCAACTAAAATCTTCTCTGACACGTTTGGCGTCCAAAACATCACAAAACAGAGCTAGAAAGAACAAAATTAAGAAATGTTTATATTTCAGAAGTGAAGCACATGAAAAGGTAGGCCTCCTGGACTAAAATATTTGTTTACTGATGAGTAGACAACTCTACTAATGGTAAATATACATACTATATATTTATATTTAGCTTGCATTCAAATACACATATACATAAGAGAGATTCCTTAGAAGCAATTCTTCTTTAGAAGCAAGAAGAGAGAAGCAATTCCTACTCATAATTTTCCTCACATACCAAGTCTGATGCATAGAGAAATAATTTTTATTGTTTCTGCAAATGGTTGTACTTGAATGGCTTATTGTTACACGAACAGTAAAAAAMCTGATTTTTATAGCATTTGGTCTAGTTAAAACACTTGTACTCCTAAACTGATTACAGAATTATTTAGTAACAAAAGTCCTCAAAGATCCAGAGATCTGATTTAAATCTAAGACTAGGGATTTAAATGTGCTGGTGAAACCAGAACTGTTGGTATGCAATACGTCTGATAGCAAGGCAAAATGCAGTCAGAATGCTCTCAGGCCATAAATCCACTACGTCTTGTTATTTTTATTAAAGAGTGTGTTGTTTAGTYCATACAGGACAGGAAGATTTCCATGAAAAACTGTGACAATTGACAGAGTGGCAGTACATGTTTTTTAATTTTTTTGGCCATTCCTGAGGCAGGGCTTCCATCTGAGCTGAAGSGGCTGTTGGCAGCTGCCGATCTGGCTTCAGTTCTAGGGGCACTCACGGAAGAACAGCCCTGACAGGACATTCCCTAAAAGAAAACGTACCTTCAAGTATAACTAATTTGTTATTTAATTTGGTTTTGTGATTTAAAAAATTGCTTCTTACTGTTATTCTTGTAGTAAAGTGAATGTTAAGTGAGATGACTGAATGGTACAAAACTTGGGACCTTAAATGCTCTGGCACTCCTCTTGTCAGGTTACAAACCTGTGTACCCTGTAAATTAGGCACATTGCCTGTACAATAGTCTGTAAGACTCTAAAACCACTCTTGTTACAATTAAGCATACCACCTAGTATCACAGMAACTAGCTCTTTTYTTTTTATCCAGTTGTCACACCCCTACATGTTCAGATRGCCTTTCAAACTAGTCTTTGAAGTCCTACCRCCTCTAAGACAGCTGGGATTTCACWCATTCTTTGCCTGTGTGTCAGAAATTGCCCTTTCTGTTCAGCCTACAAGCACCCAGGCTGCAGAAGTTTCCCAAGGCCTGTCACTGAGTGGCTTGTGGGAGGTCTCATGTTCTGACTGTGTGGTGAACAATATATTTCACTTTCCTGCATGAAGGTTAATCTTCAGTTTTCTGCTCCACTTCTTAGGGTAGGAACTACTATTCATTTGTTTCAGCTGCATGTTTTACTTGACTTAATTTGATGCTGTCTTGTGGTGTATCTCCATCACCTCTACAGARAACAGTAAGTGGAGGAAGGCAAGAGCAGAAGACTAAAGAACTGAGCACTTCTTGTACCAGTCTGAAGCAGAGGGGACAATCTAAAGCAGAGGAGATTCTGTGKTTGAGAACTCCATTATTAAAAAGTAACTGTACAACAAGAGAGTGAAGTCTTTCATTGCTAAAGACACCCTCAGGCAGACACACTCTCACTGCAAATGCCCTGTAAAGCAGTGTTACAGGCAATATTTTGTCAAATCTTTCTTCAAAGTCCAATAAATAAAATAAGATACAGAGATGCCCACTTTTCATTTCTAATTTGCTGTTTTCATGAAAGCAAAGACCTTAGCACCTCTGCACTGCACACCACCACTTGTGTCCTAGTGAGCAATATAGTTGCTGCTGCTGCTGATTCCGTATGTGTGTGCCAACAGCAGAGCCTGCCCACTGCCCGCAAGAGGCAAACAGAGCAGCCGTTCCCTCTTCAACAGCCTCTTGAAAAAGTGTTGAATATGGTTAGACAGGCGAGTGACCAAAGGCACTGTACTCAACCCTGCTCTCTAAAGCTGAGGTTTCCTTCTGGCCTTAGTAAGAACAGGCTCAATGTCCATCCAGCTCCCACTGGAGTAAAATCAGTTTGCCAGTTATGGATAATGACTTACACCCAGGTGGAATTCTCAGCTGTTGCCAACTGCAGTCTTCCCTATCCCCCCACCAGCAGAGAGCTGTGCTGATAAATGGCTTGAAGGAGCACATCTTATACAGCTGCTGGGGGATAAAGACTGCTAAGCTCAAGAATAAGCAGTTGAGGGAGGTGAGATACGGCAGCAGAAGGACCTTCTATTTCTGTCTCAGCATTCTTCTGTCTTTTTGGTTGCAATTGATAACTAGTTTCATTTTGCTAAGAGACCCCTCTGTATCATCTTATGAGTGCATGATATTCTCAATGCCCACAGGGAACAAAGCCTCAGGAAAAGAAACTCATGCTTTGCATCATTCAAGCCCTCTGCAATTTAAATTTCAGAGTGCTTGCAACTTTGGAAGCTTACATGCTATTTCAAAGACAAAATGCAGTGGAAAAAACCCAGGCTCTACTTCAGGCAAAGAACAACACTAAACATGCAAAACAGGAAGGTATTTCAGCTGATGATTTTATTACAGGTGACATATTCTGAAAATAGGATGAAGTCAGCTTTTTTGTGATTCTGAGTGGTCTATATGATGTTTGTCATTACCTTGGTCAAGGTGAAGCCTGATAGAAGACYGGAGAAGATGGTAACAGCAGTCTAGGAAAAATGGGACTGTGGCACAGACAATTAGATACAGGCTCTACTGGTATTAGCAGTGCCAACTTCCTGTGACTCAGATCAGGAAAGATTTTTAGGAAGCAGATTTAACTATAGGACGTTTCTTATCTTTCTCATAATACGACACTGTTTCCTCTCCCGCCCTGTGTTTCTATGCACGTCTACAAGGTTAAAAATAGAATAAATGGTTCAGTTAGGGTTACAGCTATACCTTCATTTAATCTAATCAAGAGATGAGGACTAACAGTGAAAGCTTCTGCAGAGGCAAGCAAYGTGCTTGCAGAGTGGCACTGCAGTTTCAGGCTGCAATTGCAGTTGGCTGWTGAGTGTTGTACCCAGCAAGTCTGCTGAGGCTGAAGCATTTCAGTGTTCTGGGAGAAAGGATTTTCTTTGTGGAGTTGTATTAACAGAGCTTATTTGATTTTCTGTTTTCTTATGGTATGAGTGCAGCATGATATTAAAGGATGGTTTTTTTAAAGCTTTTGATCATTTAACCAGAACTTCAACTGAACAGTGATGAGTGCTTTAAAAATACAGGAAGAAATGGAGATAGATGTAAAGAGCAGAGTGGAATGCTAMAGAGAATAAGCAGTTCTGCATAAAGACAGTAGTATGCATTACGATGCTACCTCTATATCAACAACAGTAACCTAAGCATTTCTGAAGATGTTTTAGGAACTGAACTGATCTGAACGGTTTTGGCTTTAGGTGTTATGCCTTTAATTGTTCCACACTAGTAAAATTTGAAAAACTGTACTAAGTATGCTAACACCTCACAGCACCATAAGAAAACTAGTGCAGCTCTACTAGCTCAGATCAAAGCTCCAGCTAGATTAGTACTGTCTCCCTGTTAAAGGTCACTGGGAGCTGCTGAAGGAAAGRGCATAAAAAGCAGGGCAAGTGTAACATAAAAGATGCCTCTCCCAGTCTGCATGGGAGTTATGGCTTCAGGAGTTCAGTAACTGTGGTTCACCTTCATCCCGTGCAGGATATGCTCTATTATCCAATATCAGTGATTTTTTTTCTCTCAATATAGTTGTGCATTAAAAGTAACTAAAAAACTCTCTCACTTATGGGTTAGACACTCTCCTCAAGACGTGTGCCTATTTTTATGTGAAACCCGGCTATTTTCAGCTAACAAATTACCTGTCTAAGCATATTCAAAAACCCAAATTAAAAACTTCTGCTGTCACCAAGCCTGAGAGAATGCACCAAATCTTCATTTCAGTAGGGAAAGTACAGAACTTCTAGTGTTCAGTTCAATTTTTCTTTATTCTCTTAAGTACAATTATGGCATTTGACTTCCACAAATGATTGTGATGAAAGATTGTTCATGAGATTTTGTTTCAAAGGCTGCATGTGTGAGTGTGAATGCTTACAGCTCTTGAAAAATAACAGTCTTTTCATAGGCCTTCCATCTCCTGGAAGCTATTTCCATTTATTCTGGTTGCTGACAGGGATTACTAAACCTCAGAGACCCACTACATAATGCATTATAATACATTATGCTAACAAAGGCTATTGTCATGTGTATAGTAACCTGCAGGGTGCCAGACTGATTTGCTTTTAGGCACTTGTAGAAAGTTGCCTGTCTTTTGAGACATTCATTGATAAATACAAGGCACAAAAGAGTATTCCAGTGAGCTATGAACAGCAGCACAGCTTTTTTAGACTCTGTGCAGTCTTCAGTTAGAAGAAACACTGGCAGATGGTGGAGACAYGGTATGGATCTATGTTCCTCAGAAAGAAATTAAGGAATCCGAAATGGATGTTTTAAAAAATAGGTTAGACATATGGCAATCTGGAATGAGTCTGGAATAATATATCTTATTGTGGAACATGGTTAACATATTAAAGGTTATTCTGTGATGAAATGCAGTTTCTACTTTTCTCCTGCAAAAAAAACCTCTCAGCAGATGGTTCATATCATTTGTTGAACTTGTTATATTTGCAGAAGCAAGGATGTCCAAGTGAGGTGTTTTACCCTCAAGATATTGTTCTGTGTATATATTGAGGATTGCAGCTCAATTTAACCCATGCCTTGCTCATTACCTATCTACCATTTAAGCTACRTTGTGCCCAGTGAGGGCAGAGGAAATCTGCTTTGCAAATGATTACACATCTCAGCTTTGAATTGTACCTCAGATCTTTTAGATGATATAATCTAAGTTTATAAGTTTTATTAATATGGAATATTATAAATCATATGATTTGCCTTCTAAATTGTGCAATAAGCAAATAAAAAAAATAGCCTGGCTCTTACATGGTTGGATCTCCTGAT